TGGTCTTGACTTAATGAATATATCTTCTTCAATTGTATTGGTTCTTGAATGTGCATAAGTATTTTCAAAGTAAGTTGCGTGTTTAATGATACGTCCCTTTTTAGCATGATTTTATGTTGTCTATGCATATGGTATCATACTTAGTAGAAGTGATGTGCTAACCCCATTTTCTTCCTTTTGTCCAACATTGTAGGTTCTGTTCGTTGAAGGGCTTCTGACAACTTTTCAAGGAAGACTTAGATTCTCATTCTCCAAGTTGGATAGGTCCTCACTACTGCGAGAACAATGCCACTTTCTAGCATTGGATATTGATTAGTCATACAGACTATATTCATTTTCTTTCATTTGAGTACTAACGACTGTATAACCTATATGTGGCTTTGATTGTATTGATGTATGGGTTATGCCTGATTGTTATACTCTTGTTTGGATGGTTATGAGATGAGACATCTGTTTTAAGACTATGTTATATCTTATATATGTATATGTGCAATAAAAATAGAAGATTATGTAATTTTCTTATACGAAGGGTCTATGTATACTCGATGAATGTATATTATGTGTTTGCGAGAGGTCTATGCAAACCTCATGATTGATAGAAGAAAAGTTTTAAATTTTTGCAATGTTAACCTATGAATGTAATGATGTAAGCTAAGAGGAGAGTCTTAGTCCTCGATGAGGACAACGACGCTGGTTACTTCTAGGGGGTACTCCCCGGATATGACAACTTTTGAATATTCAGATAATACGTACTCCCTCCATCTCATTTTATATGTTATCCCTTTCTATTAAATCGTTGGATCACAATTTTCTCATTTTATAAATTCTATACATAAATTACCATATATTGCCTGTTATACCCTTAATAGAGTGGCTAATTAATCTTGAAAATGTATTCATCATTTATTATAAAGTTGACTTAAGAAAACACTAATAAGGCTAAAGGGGGGGGGATGTTACATAATTTGTAATGCAAATGCAAAATAAAAGGGTGACATATGAAATGAAACTGAGGGAGTATCATTTACATTCGATTATCAATATTGAGTATGTGATATGTCAGGCTATTGTTTGAATTGACTCAAAAGTTGATCAAACCTACTTAAAATCATTTTTTGACAAATCTCATATAACACATAAAACCACATATTGAGTCACATAGGCGACTTAGTCGTCGAACCTATTACTTGACATTTGACTTCCAATGCACCTAAACTCTTAGACACTGCCTCATTAACACATAATAGACCTATTAGGACCTTAGGAATCAAAACCAACATGTTAGGCTCTAGTTCACCTAAGTCATTTTCTACATCTTACAAAAGTATGACAAAAGCCTAAAATAAGTTGGAAAGCGAAAGTAGACATCTCTTCAATTATTATTTTTTGACTTACAAGCTATTTTTTAAAACCAATTGAAACAGGTAGTCATTATGTTTTACATTTTACTTGACACTATTTTAAAAACAATAAATGACTTGTTTTTATGTGGTTACACTACATCCTATTCATATGAGTTAATTCTTAATGTGGAAACAAGTTGTAACGGCATATCTTCTTAAGAATGGATCAAGGAAATTCCAACGCTTCGTCATCCATTGTTCATGTTGAACTGTATAGCTTTGCCATTGAGCATGCCCAAACCAAAAAAAGTAGGTTCTTGAAAGGACATTCAATTTTTGTTTCGATATTCGGAAATTAGCAAGTTAAAAGGAATGACGAAAGGACGATAAAGAAACTCAAGTTGAACATCACATCTCCTTCCCGGAAAAGCTTATTTTTGTAGGAACTTTCCAACAAACAGATTGTTGTTTTCACAACTAAGGCTGCTCTATTGAAAGCTTTAAAAGATAAGAAGAAGGGGGCACATGAGCAAAGAACAATGGAAAGAAGGTAGGAAAAATAGGATTTCTCAAACTTGAAATTAAAAGAAATGAGTAGAGAGATTAAACGGATTCATTCAACATACGCTTGGTAAATCAAGGAAAACAACATTCTCCCCTACAAGATGGTTCTGGGTAATCTATTGTCACTTGGGACCAGGTTAGTGGTAACAAATTGAAAATGTTTCCTTCCCTGCACCAAAAATAGAAATAGTAGCAAGAATAGAACAAAAGAGTAAATCAGACAGATCGTTTCTTGATTCAATATGTGCAGCCAAAACCTTAATAGTATGATTTAATTTACAGAAATCTTCAAGCATTAACTAAATCTGAGTTGCTGGAAACTAATGAATGTGCTTTTCTTTCTGCTTGAAGCGATCTACACAATGCTTCAAGCTTCTCTTTCTTGTTCGTTGTTTTCTCCAACTGTTTTTCAAGAATTCACGCTGCAAAGAAAACAACATATATTTTAAGGCTCCTATTGAGGAAAACAAGTTCTATTACGCAAACATAACTTGAGCATCAAGCGATAAAACTACATAGACTCTCTTTATTTATAAGAAGCAACTTTGGAGAAACTAAACTATCATTCAAGTTATTCAATGCACAAAGTGGTACAACAAATATTGACCAGGGCAACAAGGACTAACAAGCTTCATGGTTTCGATGCCAAGCAACCTACATAAGATAGACAGAAGATAGATGTCAGAAGCATATTACAAGTCATGATATTTGTTTTTATTTTATGACGATAGGCAAATGGGTTTGCTGGTAGTTGTAGGATGAACGGGCTTTGCTCGCATCGGTGGTCCAAGTCTCGTGGTGGTGTTGGTTTGATCAACACATCTAAAAATAGATATTATTCCTGACAGACAAGAAAAATATTTGGGACCTTAACGAGGCTCTAGTACCATGTCTACCGGAACAAAAACATAGACATATCTAGAAAAAGTTAAGGATATCAATACAAATCAATACCTAATTGAAATAGAAGTAATCAACCTACCTGGTATATTTACATATGCTATAGAATATTCACAGTATTCTAACAAAGATATTCACAAGAGACCTTATCCTATTTGAGTAATATTATCATAGCAAAATATGGTGAAGACAAGAGTTGGATGACTAATGAAGTGCACTCTCCTTGTGGAGTTGGTCTGCAATGTCCATAAAAGCACAATGGCCTTCTATGAGGAATCACACATCCATAAAGGTGAACAATGGGTACAAAACATCATTTTGGGAAGATACATGTTGGGTAGGGGGTGTCTAAAAGATATATATATATATATATATATATATATATATATATATATATATCCTGGCGTTTATATACTGTCTATGTAACATCAGATGACAGTAGTATATGCATGGTCCTCAAGGGGGGAACATACAACTCAGAAGGAATTTCAATGACTGGGAAGTGGATACATTAACTGAACTTGTAAAAGTGTTGGAAGATTTCAAAGGTTTACAGCGGGGTGCAGATTGTCTATGCTGGAAAGAGGACAGTAGGGTACTCGTTGAAGTTAGTGTAGCTTACAAGTTAATTAATCAAGACAATCAACAGATTGCTCTTTGGAAGGCGAAGATATCTTTGGAAGGCGAAGATACCTTTCAAGGTTTCTTGTTTTCATGTGGTTATTAGCACATGAAGTTGTTTGACCAATGATAATCTAGCAGGAGAAGGATCCCCCTTCGTTCACGATGGTTTTCTTTGTGGGGGAAAAAAATTAAGTCAGTCAACCTCCTATTCTTACATTGCAAGGTTACAGATCAGCTATGGAGGATGTGTACCAACCTTAGAGTCGTAGCATGGACAATGCCCGAGAAGATAACTGAGGTTCTTTTTAGCTGTGAGGAGGCAGGGACAGGAATTATCGACAAGGATAGATGGAGGATTTTCTCAGCTTGTATATGGTGGACAATCTGGAAAGAAAGAAATTCCAGATCCTTTTAAGACACTAGCAGTTCAGTACAGAAAAACAAACTGATTTGCATTAAGACTTCTCTATTTCTGGTGTAGACAAACCTTCATAGATGATACTGAGTCGTTTCTGATCTGTTTTTCTTCCTTATGCCTTGTAAAAATGGTTTCAAAGCATATGGAGCAAAACAGATACATGCATAACAACAATTCAGACCTTAATGACTTCCTGTCGTCTTTACTTTTGGTTCGATATCCTGATCATGTCTTTCCTATAAAACTTTTCCGTGTTTAAGAATTACTTAGTTATCAAAGTTTTTTGATTAAAACATGTGTATTTTAGGAAATTTATCATAGATTGCTTTATTTGGAGCGTTAAAGTTAAGGAATATTGAGTTTGAGAACGAGAATTGTGACATAGAAAGACAACAACTTATTATCTTAAGTTGGTATAAAACTTATTATTTATGAGGCACATAGGCGACTTAGTCGTCGAACGTATTAGTCGTCCCTTGACGTTTGACTTCCAATGCACCTAATCACTTATACACTACCTCATTAACACATAATAGACCTATTAGGACCTTAAACATCAAAAACAACATATAAGGCTCTAGTTCACCTAAGTCATTTTCTGCATCTTACAAAAGTATGACAAAGCCTAAAATAAGTTGGAAAGCAAAAGTAGACATCTCTCCAATTATTATTTTTCGACTTACAAGCTACTTTTTAAAAGCAATTGAAACAGGCAGTCATTATTTTTTACATTTTACTTGACACTATTTTAAACATAATAAATGACTTGTTTTTATGTGGTTACACTACATCCTATTCATATGAGTTAATTCTTAATGTAGAAACAATTTTTAAATGGCATATAATTTGAGAATGGATCAAGGAAATCCCAATGCTTGAGCATGCCCAAACCAAAAAAAGTAGGTTCTTGAAAGGACGTTCAATTTTTGTTTCGTTCTCCGGAAATTAGCAAGTTAAAAGGAAACTCAAGTTGAAAATCACATCTCCTTCCCGGAAAAGCTTATTTTTGTAGAAACTTTCCAACAAACAGATTGTTGTTTTCACACCTAAGACTGCTTTGTTGAAAGCTTTAAAAGAGCATAAGAAGGAGACACATGAGCAATGAACAATGCAAAGAAGGTGGGAAAAATAGGAGTTCTCAAACTTGAAAATTAAAAGAAATGAGCAGAGAGATTAAACAGATTCATTCAACATACGCTTGGTAAATCAAGGAAAACAACATTCTCCCCTACAAGATGGTTCTAGGTAATCTATTGTCACTTGGTACCAGGTTAGTGGTAACAAATTGAAAATGTTTCCTTCCCTGCAACAAAAATAGAAATAGTAGCAAGAATAGAACAAAAGAGTAAATCAGACAGATTGTTTCTTGATTCAATATGTGCAGCCAAAACATTCATAGTATGATTTAATATACAGAAATTTTCAAGCTTTAACTGAATTTGAGTTGCTGGAAGCTAATGATTGTGCTTTCCTTTCTGCTTGAAGCAATCTACACAATGCTTCAAGCTTCTCTTTCTGGTTCCTTGTTTTCTCCAACTGTTTCTTCAAGAATTCACGCTGCAAAGAAAACAACATAATTTAAGGCTCCTACTGAGAAAAACAAGTTCTATTACGCAAACATAACTTGAGCATCAAGCGATAAAACAACATAGACACTCTTTATTTACAAGAAGCAGCTTTGGAGAGACTAAAGTATCATTCAAGCTATTCAATGCACAAAGTGCTACAACAAATATTGACATGGGCAACAAAGACTAACAAGCTTCATGGTTTCGATGCCAAGCAACCCACATAAGATAGACAGAAGATAGATGTCAGAAGCATATTACAAGTCATGATATTTGTTATTATTTTATGATGATATGCAAATAGGTTTGCTGGTAGTTATAGAGCTGACTGGGCTTTGCTCGCATCGGTGGTCCAAGTCTCGTGGTGGTGTTGGTTTGATCAACATCTCTGAAAATAGCAATTTTTCCTGACAGACAAGAAAAATATTTGTGGCCTTAACGAGGCTCTGGTACCATGTCTACCGGAATAGAAGCATAGACACATCTACAATAAGTTAAGGATATCAATACAAATCAATACCTAATTGAAATAGAAGTAATCAATCTACCTGCTATATTTACATATGCTATAGAATATTCACAAGATTCTTACAAAGATATTCACAAGAGACCTCATCCTATTTGAGTGATATTATCATAGCAAAATATGGCGAAGACAACAGTTGGATGACTAATGAAGTGCACTCTACTTGTGGAGTTGGTCTACAATGTCCATAAAAGCATAATGGCCTTCTATGAGGAATCACACCTCCATAAAGGTGAGCAATGGGTACAAAACATCATTTTGGGAAGATACATGTTGGGTAGGGGGTGTCTGAAAGATATATATATCCTGGTGTTTATGTACTGTCTATGCAACATCAGATGACAGTAGTATATGCATGGTCCTCAAGGGGTGGAACATACAACTCAGAAAGAATTTCAATGACTGGGAAGTGGATACATTGACTGAGCTTGTACAAGTGCTGGAAGATTTCAAAGGTTTACAGGAGGGTGCAGATTGTCTATGCTGGAAAGAGGACTGTAGGAAACTCGTTGAATTAAGCGTAGCTGAAAAGTTAATTGAATCAAGACAATCAACAGATAGCTCTTTGGAAGGCGAAGATACCTTTCAAGGTTTCTTGTTTTCATGTGGTTATTAGCACATGAAGTTGTTTTGACCCATGATAATCTAGCAGGAAAAGGATCCCCCTTTGTTCAAGATGGTTTTCTTTGTGGAAAAAATTTAAGTTAGTCAACCACCTATTCTTACATTGCAAGGTCACAGATCAGCTATGGAGGATGTGTACCAACCTTAGAGTCGTAGCATGGACAATGCCCGCGAAGATAAGTGAGGTTCTTTTTAGCTGGGAGGAGGCAGGAACAGGAATTGCCGACAAAGATAGATAGAGGATTGTCTCAGCTTGTATATGGTGGACAATCTGGAAAGAAAGAAATTCCAGATCTTTTTAAGACACTAGCAGTTCATTACAGAAAATCAAACTGATTTGCATTAAGACTTCTCTATTTTTGGTGTAGACAAACCTTCATAGATGATACTGAGTCGTTTCTGATCAGTTTTGATAAGTTTTTCTTCCTTATGCCTTGTAAAAATGGTTTCAAAGCATATGGAGCAAAACAGATATATGCAGAACAACAACTCAAACCTTAATGACTCCCTGTCGTCTTTACTTTTGGTTCGATATCCTGATCATGACTAGCCTATAAAACTTTCTGTGTTCAAGAATTACTTAGTTATCAATGTTTTTTTATTAAAGCATGTGTATTTTGGGAAACATATCATAGATTGTTTTTTTGGAGCGTTAAAGTTAAGGAATATTGAGTTTGAGAACCAGAATTGTGACATAGAAAGACAATAACTTATTATCTTAAGTTGGTATAAAACTTAATATTCATGGGAAATCTAGTCTATCCTGCGTGTCTTATGTTGATTGTTGTTCAGTGTATCTGTCTGCGGCACCAGTTTTGCGGCATCACGAGTAAACAACTAAAAAAGAATATGCAACTAAAGAGAAATTGAATCACTTCCTTCCATCAAAGAGTTAAATTGATTAGATAACAAGATTACCTCCTCAGCAAGTTCTATAAGAGTAACATCTGACTTGTCACATTTGCCCTTCAAGAAAGCATTCTCCTTCTTGAGTTCTTTTAATGATTTTGCCATCTAAAATCAGAACCGCGTAACATCAAAAAGGATAACATTGTGAGTGTAGGCCAAAAACAAATAGTACTTGACTTGTTAGAATAACCACAGCATGAAGGCAAACTGCTCCTTCTGCCACAATAAACCTAACTATCTTTCCCCTTTGGTCCATCTCAAAATATTTGATCCCTTTACCAAAATGGGAAACTTCCCTTCCTTCAACATTTCAAAATAGTATAAACTAATACTACTTTACATAATCTCAACTTTGAGTTAACATGTTACCTGATGATTCCACTTCTTCATTTGTCATTTTTAACCAATATATTGATCACTTCGCGATGGAACTTGAACACTACTAATCGATTGAAACAGTAGTCTAATTGTGCATGCATAACTACATCTAGTTTACTAGAACAGAGTACAGAACACTGGGAAATTGGAAAAAGAAGTTTAACAAATAAATGGAAGTAAACCTTCTCAATATCTTGCTTAAACGTTTCAAAAACCTCATTGCTCTTCAGCAAAGCTTCCTGCAAGAATAGCACAGAAGAATTACTTTTAAAGGTCTACGTTCAAACTTTTCATGACATTAAAACCAGTAACAGCTAGCTTAGAAACATAAAAGGAGATAAAACAAAAGATCCTTCCTATCCTGATTTTTAATTGTAGGTTTGTCCCATTATTGCAGTAATTTGAAACCTCTAAAAAGAACCATGTAAATAAGCATTACAACGAAGCTCTTACGTTGTCAAGCACTAGGCAAGTGCATATTATCTTTCTCTTATCTTGTGTTTGAAATGGTGAAAAGAGGAAGCCTAAGAGGACTGGAACTAAACAAGTGTTTTTTCCTTTGGGTGGGTAGCGGGGAGGGGAGGTGTGATAATGGTATTTCACCATAATTTGGTTAATAAGTAAAATTGCAGGTCACTAGAACTCGTGGAATGGAAGACTCGATGAATGCACACAACAGGATTCAGAATTGACAAACAAACATCATAGGGAAAACTTTTAAAATGCAATCTTCACACAAGTTTTTCTCCTAAAACAAACAGGAGAAAATGATTTTTAAGCCCCAAAGATGATTGTTATTCGTAGATTTGACTTGCTTTTGCTTGATGCGTCATCAGTTCATTGGACAAACAGCAGAATTCTATAGTCATACACTGTGACAAATTGGAATAATACCACTACTTTCAGTCCATGCTAAGCCATCATAAACCCCCAACATCATTCATTAAAACCATACTGTTGCGAGGGAAGAGTAAAAACCCATTAGCAAATCCAAGAGAAAAAAAGGAATTCAGCAAAGAGAAAGGCATAAGGATGGGAAAGGGAGAGCATGGAGATCCTTGAGGTTTGTGGCAAAGGCACAACCTATCGTGCTACCATCCAGCCTCGCTTAAGCGGCTTCAAGATGAATGTGGAAATACTAAAAAAACAATCCTCTTCAGGTTTATCACCTATGATCAATTGGCTATCAGAAGTCAAGAAGGCATTTCGTTCAAAATTTTCTATTATTTTCTTGTCTATAATAATATTACCAAATCCGGTTAGGTTTTTCATTCATATCAGCCCCTCTAAACAATTCTAAATGCTTGATAGAAAAGGACAACCATTTCTCAATAAGTTGATTCCTCTGTCCCAATTTATTTAACATAGTTTGATAGGAAGCAGTGTTGTAAGAAAGACTTGTAACATATAAACTACATATTTTATTAAATGGCAGAACTACCATTATACTGAACTATTTGTTTTGTATCCTGTGGGACCAACAAGAAGCTATGTCAATTGCAATGAGAAAGTAAAAATTATCTAGTCTCAAAAAGAGAAGAACTGATCTTTCTCGAACAAATAAAAGAGGAAAAGTTCCAAACGAGTAGTACAGGGAGAATACCAAACAAAACAGAAAGGAAAAAGTCCCGAAGTGAAAGCTACCTACAATCCTCAACTTTCAAATCCACCAAAACAAAGGAAGCAATGATCCTGGGCATACCATCCAATCACATTAGACAAAATAAAGGAACACTTCTTTGATCCAAATATCAGAAGTGCTATTCACTAACGTGTGCAGTTCTCTGGTATCATATGTACTCTTATGCTAAAAGGTTGTGAATTCCACTTGAGAGGTAAGATAACTAGGAATGAAAACTTGTGGTGAAGAAATAAAGAAGATACTAGATTGCTTCAAGTTTCTTGAACTTTTTTAAATTTTGTCACCTATACAATTCCCCAAGATGAATGTCTAAAGCTAATGATCTAAACAATTTAACCAGAGATATGTGATCATTCGCCTAATCAAAAACCTCTTTATAGAGTGGCAAACTCTTTGAAGCAGTACAATTTGTCTTGAAGAATGCCTAGACCAATAGAAACTGCAAGCTAATACACAAGCACAAACTTCGTGAAAGTTATGTCACAACTGACACATATAATATTGTAAGTAAGACTAACAGGCTAACCTGGAACTGCTGGAACTTTTCTCCATCGGCAGTCAATTGCAACCGTAAGTTCTTCTCTGTTGCCAGTAATTGCGACACTTGGTCAGCATAAATTTTCATCTGGGACTGTTCCTGCTGTGATTTCTCCTCGTGTTGCTTAATTTTCAAATCAGCAAGCTGAAGTTCAAGACTCTTTTGCTTCATCTGCAAAGAGAAAGGTATTCATCAGGCCCTTGATCAAAAAGGAAAAGCCTTGGAGAAAAATATTAAAATCCGCAAAGATGTTTTATGATCTCAATACTACTAGGAAATTGAATAAGAGCAAATGTGAATCACCTTGTTTGCAAATTGATTTTCAGAGAGAGTATACTGATCTGCAAGTTGCTTCAACTTGCTCTTTAACCTGCAGTTATTAAAGGAAAACAGAAGTATTCAAAAGGTAATCTTAAAATGAACTTACACTAAAATGACCCCAGTTTTATGTTCAAGCAATTCATAAAATTGTTTAATTTTCCACAACTAAGCCCAACTAACAGCAAAAAATTATTGCCATAAGTATCACATGCCAGTCCAAAGGAGAGTGGCGATGGTATGTATGAATAAAGCAGGATAAAAGCACCTTGTTTTGACAGGGAAATCACACTAGACTTGAGAAGACAACTCATGACAGAACATCCACTCTTTAAGAAAAAAAGCAACCCTGGCCGTGAACATTGACAAACACAGTGCTTCTTTTATAAAGTAATAATATTGTCGATGTTGGAATACCCAGTATACAAGTGGTATACAAAAGAGAAAAAAGAAATTTTTTAACAAGATATGATTTACTACAAATAATGCCTAATCGAACGCACTAATTGAGACTCTTGAGCACCAATAATTTATCCAATAAAAAGCTCTCAAGTAAGCAAAATCATTTTTCACTCATACAAATGCTCTTCCATAATAACTTCCCCTCCAAAATTCTCACATAGAGGGAAAAGGGATACATCCCATGCTTAGATCTTCCACCTGCATCACATTTTTAACTATAGCCAACATCGACCATGGGAACAAATAGACCCATGTCACTCTCGAAGTCCAACTAAAAGTTGTCTGAAACTTGTATCCTCTATTAAAAGTAACCTGCTTAGTAAGATATCACCGAGAACAATTTTCTCCCACTAGCGTTCCATTATCAAGTGTAATATTCTGACAGTGTGATGTTTTGCTTACAGAGTAATACCCAAAAAAATTGAATTGCATCTATCACCACTTGTAGATTTCTTCTTGAGCCTCAATTCAAATAAGCAGTGATATTGTGTTCTACGGACATGAAATATCATCATATTGTTCTTAAACATGTCACATATTGTTGGAAAAGAAACTCTGAAGATACCATTACCACACCACATGTGCTTTTGAAAACTGTTAGAATCCTAGGAACATTCTATAGCAGATGTGTAAATATAGTAGGTAGCTTGATTTACTCCTAGTTTTACTCTAGCTTGATTTGATATTAATTTGTATTGATTTCCTTCACTTTTTAGGACATGTATACTTAGCTATTTAAACGCAATAGCTTATGGGAATACCAAACGGAGTTCTCTCTCAAACTCTTCTCTTCTCACATGGTATCCGAAGTTTTTTTAGTGAGAAAACAAGAATTATAAGAGAACAAAATTGCGGAGAATTCTTTTTCCAGCAAAACCTCCTCTGTTTCGCGACTCCAACACTTTCTGGGGGGTGTTGTGCATATATGAGTATCACCATTACAATCAGAATCCTCGCGGCTTATGCTGTTTCTTCAGCCACTTTTCTGGCATTTTTTTCCAGTAACTTTTTCTGACAAGATAGCAAGCAGTTCTCCAGTTTCCCAAATCTGTTCTTCAGGTTTTTTCCCCAGAATTTACTTTATTTTTAACACTAATAGATCTATTTTTCATGTCTCTCAGATCCGATATGTTTAGCAGTAAACCTGTGAGTTCCAGTAACCCAAACCATGGCATCACCACAAAACCTTTGACAGGTTGTGCAAACTATTTATCTTGGTCCTCCTCTCTTCAGTTATAGTCTGTGTTGTGAAATGTGACAAAAAGAGCACTTAAAGGGTGAAGCGAGCCAAGGCGCAAGCACTGCACTTTTATCCTCTAAATCAAAGCGCTGCTGAAAAAGTGAGCACTTCAGTAGGCAAAGAGATAAGCGCGCTTAGAGCAAAGGCGACCAAAAGCTCGCTTAAATGAGATAAGAACATTATCAAATACCAAGAAAAAAACTTTAGAAAAGCTCTCAGGCACTTATCTCAAGACAATTTCCTACGGGCCCTTCCGGTCCTTAGGAAGACATAATCCGGTGAACTTCCTTTGGTGGAAAACCCAATTCCTTTTTTTTTCTTCCATATTCTTTCTTTCCCACGGATAACAAAATATATTTCAGACTTGGGGTCAAATCATACAATTACTGAGTCTAGAAACACAAAAGGAAACTGGTTTGAGTAGGTGGAGAGTGTGAAACTTACACATCAGGAAAATAAAGCTGTGCAGGGATGCTTTATAATGGATATGCAAAAGGCTAGGGGAGGCTTCTGGCATTGAAGGTCATTTAAGACATGGAGATGCAAGGACATTTACCTACATTTATTGCTCATTGAAGTTCAATAAATACGGTAGGTTCATCTCAATCATTGTGGCTAATGGCCATGAACGTTTGGTGATTATTCTGCCAGAAAACATCTTTAATGAAGGTTGGGCTGGCCTATCAAAAAAATTGAAAGCTTCATCATTCAGGAGGCAGGACATGTCACTGAGAAACAGGGAATTCTGCATTTATGAGGCTCAGGGAAGAGGACAGTTACAAGGAGGTCACTCAAAGGAGAAAATGGAGGGCCATATCTGATAGGAGAGCAGAAAATCAGAAGGAGACACTCTGTGAAGAAGAAGGGGTCCTTAGCAGATGTCTGGAGGGAAGCTTCCCAGACGATGACGAAATTCCCTCACGGAACGAAGTCAGAAGGTGGGTTATTCAAACGTGGAAAGACATCCATAATGTTAACATTTACGACATGAATGGTATCAGTTTCTTTTCGAGTTCCAATCAAGAAATGAAGCAGAGCATATTGTTATGGGGAAGTGGAGAAGAAAGAATAATCATTTACAGATGGAATGGTGGTCTCCCAAAGCAGGAACGGCGCAAGCTGACTTCAAGTTTGATTGGTTTTGGGTTCGGATTTTAGGTCTTCCTCTGCATCTCGGGACAGACAAGGTGATGAAACAAATGGGTGACCAATGTGGGGGTGGTTGGAGACAAAGGAAACCACCCTAAAGAAACATCTCCTATGGGCCAGAATCAGTGTTAAGGGTTCTAGGGAGAAAATTCCGACGGAAATTGAGATTGAAGATGGAGATGCTACCAGTATGGTGTGAAGCTCCGGCAAGATTAAAAAAAAGAAGGGGGAGAAACACTCTGATCGATATGTCAGCGGTTTGACTTATGGGGAAGTACTTTGTAGAGGGAGACTTACAATAGAGATGCAAGAGATATTAAGGGAAGGCAAAGAGAGCTTCGTCCAGAAGTCAATCATAATAGGGGTCTTGTACCGCTGGATAAATGTGCGCATGTGACTTGTGAAAATTCATTTGGAAAAAGGTATGTGGAACCCCTGGTAGAGAGTCCGGGTCAATTTTTATCTTGTTCAAAGTGTAGTGGGGTTGGGAAGCTACAATGACCTATTTTACAGAGCCTTTTATCTGGGATATTTTCAACGGCAGAATCTATATGGAGAATTTCATGACATCTTCTACAGAGCTTGAAGAACTCATGAGAGCGACTCAGAATCCTTATCCACCGAACAACATCACAATTGAATCGACATGCAGCGTGCAGTTGATCCTTCAGAGTATGTGGAGGAGACAATACTTCCCTTAGATTGCAAGAAAAGGGTGAATACAAGGTATGATCAATAAGTTTACACAGGAGACCCTCCAAGGACCAATTGGAATTTTTGGATTAGCTTCTTCATATTGCCAGTGATGACTCTCTGTCAGAGGAAGCCATTCATGACAGAGTTTCTTTATGGGTGCAAGCAAAGGTCCTTAGACTAGCAGATTATTTGGTACTGCCTTCGAAGGATGTGATAAAGACTCCTTTTGAATTATTTCTGAAAATTGATGAAAAGAGGGAATTCTTCCAGCAAAATATGGAGAAACACATAAATGGCAATAACTCCAATATCATCCCAAGGGAAGTGAGGAATTTGACTTTTAATGTGAATTTTAAAGATGGCGAACCGAGAAGTAGGGGGGAGAAAAACAACTTCAAGTGATCAATGTTTAAAGTTGTAACATGGAATGTTACAATGAGAATAAAAGAAGATTAAGGACCTGTTTGGATTGGCTTTTGGCTTATGACTTATAAGCCAAAAGCCATAAGTTAGGATTTCTAACTTATGGTTTTTGCCTTATTTTTGTTATTTTGGCTTTAAAAATAAGTGCTTATAAGCACTTTTTAACTTTACCCAAACACTTCAAAACTGTTTAAAAGCTATTTAAGCTTAAAAGCACCTAAAATAAGTCAATCCAAACACACACTAATTCGGAGCCTACTTCAACAGTGGTGTGCAGATATATACGTGCTAGTGGAAACAAAATTGACAGGAGCAGATACACAATTGATCAAACAATTGTGGTTCAACCGATGGCTGGGAGAATTACGCTCAGAGGTTGTAGGGAGAAGAGGGAGTATAGCAGTGCTATGGGACAGGAGAATGTGGAAAGGTGAATTGGTGGATACTTCTAGGCAAATAATCACATGAAGATTTGAAGGCATTAATACACACTTAAGTTGGTTCCTTAGTTTAATTTATGCTGACTGTAACAAAGTCATCAGAAGGGAGTTGTGGAGGGATCTAATCAATCTAAAGAACACATGCACAGGTCCTTGGTGGGGATTTCAATGTGACAAGATACCCCACGGAGAGATCAAGTGGACAGAGGTCAACAGGGGGCTATGTCTGACTTCACAGATTGGATAAATGAAATGGAGCTAATTGACCCTACTTTATATGGAGGATTGTACACCTGGAGAAGGGGTGAAAAACACTCGACTGCTTCTAGATTGGATAGACTTCTTTACTCTCATCATTGGGACGACTTTTCCTCACAAATCAGACAGTCTTCTACCGAGACTAGAGTCTGATCACAATCCAGTGTTGCTACTTGCGGGAAGCTAAACTTGAAGAAATCTTATTTCAAGTTTGAATAATGGTGGACGCAATTACAAGGTTTCAAGAGAAGATAAACGATTGGTGGTGCTCCTTCTCAGTAAATGGGACCCCCTCTTTTGTCTCAGCTTCCAAACTGAAGTTACTGAAAGGAAAGTTGAAACAATGAGTAAGCGAACAGAGTCAACTTGAAACAAAAGAAGGAAGAGATACTCAATCAAATTGCTGGTTTGGAAATTCAAGAAGTTCGTTTTTCTAGGGAGTTTGATGAAGTTTCCAGGAATGAGGAGATATCTTGAAGACAAATGTCAAGAATTCAATGGCTCAAACATGGAGACAAGAACACCAAGTACTTCCATAGGATGGCCACAGATACAAAAGAATAAACTCAATTGAAAAAGAGTTGACTGATACCGAAGGATTGGTTACAAAGATAGTTCGAGGAGAAGAAGTGCTAGAAGAAATCAAATTGTGTGCAAGCTAGACATTGAGAAGGCATATGATCATGTCAACTAATGTTTTTGCTCAATATGATTAAAAAATGGGGTTTGGTGAGAGGTGGTTAAGATGGATTGAGGTATGTATAAAAACTATTAGGTTCTCCATTCTGATAAATGGAGAACCTACTGGTTTCTTCCCTCAGGGAGACCTGTGTCCCCTTTCCTTTTCATTATAACATGAAAGGATTCGATAGTATGATGAGGGTGGCTACTAAAAACTCATTGTTGCAAGGATTCAAAGTAGGCAGTTTCTCAAGGGTGGATATGCAGATTTATCACTTGCTTTATGCTGACGACACTATCATATTTTGTGGAGTTGAGGAACAAATTAGAACTGTCAGAAGGATATTGGTAGTCTTTGAGGTGGTCTCAGGCTTGGCAGTCAATTGGAGGAAGAATTGTATATATCCCAACAAAGAGGTTACCAGACCTTAACAAACATTTTGGGGTGCAGAATTGAAAAACTCCCAACTGTTTACCTAGGTATGCCACTTCGAAACAACCATAAAGAGCTAGTGATATTTTTTTGAAATTGGTAATTGATCATAAAGAGCTAGTGATATGGGATGGTATAATTGAAAAAAATTGAGAAGAAGCTGGCAAACTGTAAATCTCAATATCTATCCTTCGGTGGGAGAACCATAAACTTGTACTATTCCCTATGCTGGCCAAAATGGAAGAAAGACTTGAAAAATTAAGGAGTGATTTTCTTTGGTCAGAAATCAAGGAAGGTAAAAGAAGAATACATCTTGTCAAATGGCAAATGCTTTGCTGAGTAGAAGGGGGGGGGGGGGAGGGGGGGTTAGACCACCTCCAATCCCATTCTATTTTACTCTTCATTCTCTATATTTGGAGAGTAAAATAGAGAATTGGGTCTCCAACCACTCTCTAAAAAGCACTCTATTCTTTATTTATAGAGAGGTGAATAGTAGTTCTCCAAATTATTCACCTCTCTATTTCACTTTTTCATTATTTTAATGTTATTTCTACTATTTGTAACTAACATTTTATTTGTCATATAACGCTAAATTAAATTTCTAATGTTCGTAATTCTTATTAAATATAATATAACATCTTAAAAAATATATTATTTAGTAGATACTACTTTCATCCCAAATTAACAATATTTTAAATATATATTTTTTTAATTTTTGTCACTTTGAGAGATAATTTGATATTATTATCATTATTGATTTTCACTATGAAGAATGCACGAAATTTAAATGATAAAATGAAAATTTTAATTTAAAAATATAATACATGACATAATGATTTAAATAAAAGATAACAATACAATACATAACATAATGATCTATAAAATCACAACAATAATTAAGTAATCCGGTAGGTCATCTTTTAAGTTTAACAATATGCTTGTGATTGCGGTTGTGCTTGCTGATTTCTTTTTTCAATTATTCGTAGTTGTTCTTTAAAATTTAGAATAAAATATAATTTTATACAAAATAAAGACTTTTAAAAAAATAATAATTTTATATTACACAAAAATTATATAGGGTGATTATTTTGAAAAAAGAAAGAACTGATTATATTATGAAATAAGAAAATGAAATTGAAATAGAAATAATAATATAATATTGAGGAGAGAGAATAAGATTCTTTTTTAGAGAGTAAAATGGAGAATTGGGTTGGAGTTGATTGTCTGAAAAAATAGAAAACTATATATTTGGAGAGTAAAATAAAGTGCAGGGTTGGAGATGCCCTTAGGGTAAGAAACTTGGGGCTACACAACAAGTGCTTATTGGTAAAATGGTTGTGGAGGTTCAGAAGAGAGGATCAAGCACTTTGGAAGGAAGTTATCAGTAACAAGTACGGCCAGAATACCCCATGGCTTTTCGATATGGTGACTATCGTTATGGTGTCTCAGTGTGGAGAACTATCAGAAATATATGGAGTCAACTACAACACAATATTAGATACAAACTGGGGAATGGGACCAGGCTTCTTTGGATCACTGGATTTGTCTGAACTCCTTGATGTCTACCTATTCAGATATATATATCCTCAGCTCTTCTCCAGATGCAATGGTAAATTAGGTACGATCTGAACAAGGGTGGAGTTTCAGCTTCAGAAGGTTACTAAATGACCGGGAGATAGGGACAATAGCCGAGATGCTAGAAACACTAGATGATTTCAAGGGCACATCGGAAGTTGATATAATGATTTGGAAAAACAATCATGATGGTATGTTGTCAGTCAGCAGACTGTACAATAGGAATGTGAAGGAACTTTCCGGGGAAATCTCTGGACCATGGGAGTAAGGTATGGAAAAATAAAGTTTCAACTAAAGTGAGGTGTTTCTCATGGCTAGTGGCTAAAAGGGCATGCGTAACTCATGCGAAGCTACAGAGAAGAGGCTTTGAAATAGCTTCCTGGTTTACTGTGTAATCAGACAAATGAGACTAATAATAGCCATCTATTCCTCCATTGCAAAGTCACTGCTAAATTATGAGCCATTTTTCAAAACAGAACAGACACAAACTGGACAATGTCAGAACACATTGCAGACCTTTTAGTTGTTGGGTGAAAAGAGGGGGGAGTAAGAGCCAGAAAAAATAGTGGGACATGATACCCTCTTGTATATGGTGGACTATTTGGAGAGAAAAAAACAAGAGGTGTATTGAAAGTTGAAACTACCGCAAAATCAGTGCAAAAGATCAAATGGTGTTGTATGAATTCTTTCTATTTGGTGTAAAGAGGAGTATATAGAGGATGCTGTACAGATTTTAAATTTTTTCTCTGCTTTATGAGTTTAGTAGCAATTTCTTGAGTTGGTCTATTTTGGGTCACTGATGTAAATCTTTTTGATGGTTGCCAGCATACCCTCAATGCTGAGGAATACAATTTTACCTTTATTAAAAAAAATAAAAAAAATAAAAAGAGATAAGCGCTAGTTAGGGTTTTTTCAAAAATATATGTTAGGTTTTTTCTTTAATTTTTGTAAGTATACTGGGGCAACCCCTTTCCAATTATTTTCCCTCTTTAAGGGACTGCTGCTACACTCTACAGGTTAATTCTCTTCTTCTCTTTGGTCGACTGCTGCTCTGTTTTTTTCTCTTCTCTTTGGTCACTGCTGCTCTGTTTTTTTTCTTTCTTCCTTTTGGTGGCTGCTGCTATGTTATGTCTCTGTATATTTTTTTCCTTTGTTTTATTGTTGTTCTGTGACCGAGTTACTGTTGCTCTATTCGTAATACTATCCTCTGCTCTTTTTTCTTTTTTTGTTTTGCTGGTTGCTGCTCTGTTCTGTCTCAATATTTCTTTTCCTTAGTTTTTTTGCTACTCTGTTACTGAGTTACTCTTCTATTTTGCTTGTCGCAAGTTGTATTTTCTTATTCAATGTCACAATGAAGAATAGGAGTTTGATCCTTCGTGATTTGGCCATGTATTTGCTTTATATGTTATATCTTATGAGGAGTATCGACTACCAACTTACTTTTTAATCTGGAAATATGTTACCTCTATTTAGTTATTTAATATTTTTTTATTTTATACTAAATACCGCTTTATATAGAAAAAAGTTAATGCTTCGCTTCACACTTCTCACTTCAGCGAAGCAAGCCCGTGTCGTTTTTTCTGCTTCTCGCTTCCCAAAACATCGGCTATGGTGCAAGCGACAAGGTGTTCGAGATCACTTGGTTACACAGGCCAAGGATAATGCTAAAACTGATAAGGGCGAATGGGTGAAGATTGATGATGCTCAATTGTGTAGTCCGTCATGGAAATCTATTGATTCAAATTTGATCCCATTGTTTCGACCATTCCAACGCTTTCTTTTAAACTCTATGTTTTGAATTACAAGTCATCCCCCAAATCCATTAAATATGGCATCTAAACTGATTAAATGCTCTCAAATTGCCTTAGATACAACCCCCTCCTAATCCCATTATGATCAAATCATCCATAATTTCAATCAGACAATCTACTACTATTCTAATTCCCCATCCATGTCAAGCCATATGCTTTATTCCGCACCATTCCTTTTATGGTGTGCCTCATATTTATCATTGCAGGATATAAGCAAAAACATGATATTAAAGTGTTACTACAACATGATTAATAAATACTGAAATCTTACATCTCATTCTCCTTCAACTGCAATAGACATTCATCTTTTTGTTCTTCCAGCTTGCTGCTTACGTCCTAAGTAGGAAGAAAATCAGGAAAGAACTATCATACAACAATTCAAGCTGATCCACACTTAAGAGGCAAAAAACAAACATATTACGAATTTCAGTTTCAAGAAGTGTATATTTTCCAAAGCCATGCCCACCACACAAAGGTCAATCCTTGTTTATGAAATGAGCTAACAGTTTTTATCTTTGGGTTCGATAATTTATTTTCTTCCTTGTTTTAGGATTCAATGTACGGGTAGGAAGCATGGCGTTGGTAAAGAAAAAATTGTTTTTAATTCTTGGAGGATAAACAATACAAGAATTTGTCAGTATGCAGCACAACATTACTCCAACAAACATCAGAACACAATAACGAAGAGAGTGAGGCTCTCCGCACAAAGATAACCAAAACTCAGACGTTTGCACAATGCTCATGATGTCACCTTCTTTTTTTGTGAAGTAATTGATTTCACTGCTAGCATCAAGGAGACGCCAAATAGTTACAAAAGTAGTAGCTTAGCAAAAAGGACTCATGATGTCACATCTTAACTATTCAGCATAATAACAATGAAGAGACAAATACTATGACACACATTAAACTTAAATTGGCAAAAACATCTAGAAAAACAAAGTGTTTCCACAAAGCTAAGCAATGATTTCCTTCAGCAAGCAGCGGTGGCGCATTTGCATGTTCTTGTGAAGATAATTATTAGTTTACAATATAATTACTAATATTTTTGAAACTAGTATTCCCTTTGCTTCGACTTGTTTATTTGGTTTTGACTTGGCTCAGCCACGGAGTTTAAAAAAAATAAAGAAACCTTTTGAATCTTGTGGTCTTAAGATAAAGATATGTAGAATGTACTAAAATGTCCTCTGAGACATTCCTTTGAAATGACTACAAAGTAAGAGGGTGTTTGGATTGTCTTAAAAGTTGGTAAAACCTACTTTTAAGTCAGTTTTTGACTTCTGGAAGAATTTGACACATAAAATCTTAAAAATAAGTTAGGAAGGGTTTGACAAGGTAAAAATAACTTAAAATAAGTCAAAAACCAAAAGTAGGTCTCCCCCTACTTTTTATTTTTGACTTGAAATTCATTTACGTTTGACTTTTTATTTTTGATTTAAAAGCAAGTTTTTTAAGTCAATCCAAACAGTCTCTAAGAGAAACAAATTTAAACGGGATTCAAAGAATACTTTTGACTAAATTTAGCTAATGGTTACGAAGTCAAGAATACAGTCAGGATAGAGACCAACACAACTTTATTCTTGAAAAAATTGTGGGATCATGAAGGCAGTTTGGGGAAAAGCATTTAATAGAGGCCAAAGCATTTAGTAACCTAGAGTAGCTAGGTGGGGAAGTAAAATCAATCCTTGTTCATACATAGGAGCTGAGCTTTATTAATGGGTAGGCACTATATCAATCAAAAACAGAAACCTGGCCTTTGAAACCACTGCTCACTGCTCTCCTCCCCCCTTCCCAACCCACAAAAAAGCAATGATATAGAACACCAAAGTGAAGGGCTTGTGACCTCAAAGTTTCAATCACTCTCAAACTGTTCATCAAGACTTAGTAGAAAATAAGATGACACCCAAGACATTCTATGCAGTGTCATCAAGGAGAAAATACTTTAAACTGCAAAAACAACTAATTTAATTTTAAAGTAAAAACCATGTTGATCAAGTTTAAACAAACATTTAGAATTTCTGATTCGTATTAAAACATAATTTCAAATTTCCATCTCAGATTTAGTGACTAGGTCTTATATACCATGTAATCAATTCCTACACTAACAGATTCATCTATGACATCATCTTAATGATTAATGATTTAATATAGTGTTTCCCATCTATATATCATATATGATGCCACCAAATTCAGATAAGAGTACTGGCCTCATAATTTAATATAGTTATGTTTTTAAACAGTAGTTAGGTGCATGCATTAGCTTCTTGTGCCTGCACTTAAGTGCTGCATAAGCAAAGTACAGCTACCAACCTATGCAGCACTCAACTTCACTTTCTAAGTGAGTCACAAAAACGCCTTTAAGGCTTTAAAGAACACAGTTCTACAATTAGATTAACACTTCCGGTCATCAAAAAAAAATAGATTACCACTTCAACTGAAAACTCAGCAGGAACGCATAACTAGGTTAGTGATGCTACTATCTATGAAGTTTAACCTTCTTAATCAAGTAGTCAAAATCCAGGTGCAAGAAGGTAGAACTGCTTATCACTTCCTCAGGGATGTATGCGAGCTACATCAACACACCTTTTTTCCCACCTGATCCCAAAAGGTTGTTCAATCAGATCAAGTATAGGATGTCAACGCGCGCATGCACAGCACAATCAAGGCAACCTATTGGACTGGGCATGTCACCATTCTAAAACCCTGAATAAGGTGGACCTGGCAAAAGAGAAAGCCAAGCACCAGCCTCAAACTATTTGCTAGGCAAGGTCAGAAAACTATTCAGAGTGATGACCTTAAATGAAACTTTTCTTTTGAGAAAAGGTAACTTGTGTTATAAACAAAGGAATACTCGGGACGTAATCCACTAATACTTATAATCAGAAATATAGAAGTGTTGTTGTTTTCCTATGAACTCCTTAAAAATCATATCATATATATGTATATATAAAAGTGAACCTTAGGCCCGCCTACGTGGCGCCACTACAAACCAGAATTCACTTTTAATTTATTTATTTACAAAACTAGCTTTCCCCTATCATGAAAAGTTGGGACATTAACAAAAAGTTGTGACTTTTATGAAAACTTGGACTTTTATGAAAAATTCTGACTTTTATGAAAAGTTGTGACTTGTATAAAAAGTTGCGACTTTTATGAAAAGTTGTGACTTTAATGAAGAGTTGCGACTTTTATGAAAAATTGTGACTTTTATTAAAGGTTGTGACCATTTTGAACAGTTGAAACTTTTCTAAATAGTTGTAACCTTTCCGATACGAAACAATAAATATTTGTTCATACTACCATTTGTTGTCATTTGTTGTCTATAGATAGAGAGATTTCCTCTCATTTCAAAACAATGAAAATTCTGAAGCTCTTCTTCTTTTTTAGTATTAAATATTTGAGTATTTTACTCATGTTGAGCGGCACAGTGACACCACTTTTATGTAAGATAATATAGTAATTTAGCTGTAGTGACTGATAGGTTTTGTGTATTTTTCTTTTTATACTCTGTGATATTAAATACCCGTGCAAAGCGCGGGTAATTTTACTGGTTCTAAGATACTAGGGGTATCCTCATGTTCATGAGGATATTCATGTTTACACCAAAAATAGGAAAGATCTAAACAATTCAGCTTCATCTTCTCCATAGAGCAGCTCTTGTTTTAAAAACAACGTTGATTCCTTTACGGTCAAATAGTCCACCAAATGCAGGCCGGGACAATCTTCTATCTCTCCCTGTGTACCGACTAATTTCCACTTAATGAAACTGTTAACACCCTAAATACTTGGACAAATGGTTTCCTTGATGCACCTGCATTCAGGAAGTCAAGCAGCATACCCAATTCCACATGGAGAATTTACTGTAATGGAGTTGGAAATTATGGGGGAATGGACACTCGTCAAACTAGTGTGTCCAGCATGAGTAGAGACGGATTGACACAATGCTACGCAAATAAAAAATTCTTCTATCCCTTCTTCTTTACACCAAAAATAAAAAGTAGTCAAGCAGGTTCTTCTATCCCTTCTTCTTTACACCAAAAATAAAATGTAGTCAAGCAGTTCCATTCGACTTTCTCTATTGAATTTGCTTTGTTATCATAGCATCTGCTATTTCTTTCTTTCCAAATACACCACCAAATGCATGATGGTATTATACTCCACTTTTTCTTAGATTTTCTCCCCCTCTGCTGATCCAACAACTAAGTAGATCTGTTGTATACTCAGGCATAATCCATTATGTATGTGTTAACCCAAATAAAAGGTTCCACAATTGTGTTGTCACTTTACAATGGAGGAACACATGGTTGTTTGTTTCCTCAGCCTCATTATAGAGAGAGTACCAAGAGGCAATATAGAAACCCCTCCTTTTCAGTTTCTCATGAGTGGAACATGCTCTTCTGGTAACCAACCAAGAGAAACACTTTACCTTGGTTAGCACCTGGTTCCTCCAAATCTACTTACAAGGACAAGCTTGCCACCTAGATGCTCCTTCACCTCCAAACCCATGGCAGGGCCCCACGCAAATCAAATTTGAGGAGTCACTAGAAAGACGAACGGAGCTACGCCAATAAAATTTGAGGAGTCACCGGAAAGACACGATGCTATGGAACACAGATATGAGAAAGTAGTTCAAAAAAATCCACGGTACTGCAAATTAAATATAAGAAGGTATTCATGGAGATGCACGGTGCTACGCAGATCAAATATGAGAAAGTAGTCATTGAAAAGATGCACGGTGCTACGCAAATTGGATATAATATGAGAAAGTAGTCACTCAAAAAGATGTCATGGTGCTACACAAATCATATATGAAAAAGTAGTCACCAGAAAGATAGCAAAGTACTATGCAAACAGCAAATCGAATACAAGAAAGTAGTCACTGAGAAAATAGCCCGATACTTTTTTAAAAAAATTTTGATAAAGAAAATGGCGCGATACTACCCAAATTAGAAATGAGAAAATAGCCACTGAAAAGATACACTGCGACCGAACTTTTGCAAACGGAATTATTGGTTAGACGGGCGGCATATATAGGTAATAGCTGCCCGCTGGCAGCGGAAGTTCTTTTTCTATTTATACAAGATCGTAGAGGCTATGATACCACATGACGAATACGCAAGAAGAATATTATTGAATTGTGTATCTACATATTTACATAGAGACCATTTTATAGACACTGCAATATAATCCATGATCAAGTAGGAAACTATATATTATATTCCCATTTCTTTTTTTTAATAAAGGTAAAGTTGTATTAGTAAGCATTAAGGATATGCTGGAGACCTCCAAAACATGGTTTCCAACAAGAGAAAAAACAAAAAGGCTAATAGATTACAAATAGCCTATAAAATCCAAAATTTATGCAGGTTCTTCTATCCCTTCTTCTTTACACCAAAAATAAAAAGTAGTCAAGCAGTTCCATTCGACTTTCTCTATTGAATTTGCTTTGTTATCATAGCATCTGCTATTTCTTTCTTTCCAAATACACCACCAAATGCATGATAGTATTATAATCCACTTTTTCTTAGATTTTCTCCCCCCTCTGCTGATCCAACAACTAAGTAGATCTGTTGTATACTCAGGCATAATCCATTATGTATGTGTTAGTCCCAAATAAAAGGTTCCACAATTGTGTTGTCACTTTACAATGGAGGAACAGATGGTTGTTGGTTTCCTAGAGAGAGCACCAAGAGGCAATATAGAAACCCCTCCTTTTCAGTTTCTCATGAGTGGAACATGCTCTTCTGGTAACCAACCAAAGAAACACTTTACCTTGGTTGGCACCTTGTTCCTCCAACTCTGCTTCCAGGGACAAGCTTGCCACCTGGATGCTCCTTCACCTCCTTAATATATAGCTTGTTAACAGAAAGTCTTCCATCTCTAGAGTGTTTCCATATGATAGAATCTTTATCTGCTGATAACCCATTAAAACCATTGAGAACATGTAATACTTCAGCCACTCTCCCAATCTCCCAGTCATTTAAGTGCCTTCTAAACACAATATTCCTACAGTGAGTAGACCATACATCAGCCACTGTTTTTTCCAGAATGGTACACAAGGAGAATAGGTCACGAAATAAGACCATCAGTGCCTCATTTCCATTCCAATTCTCTTTCTAGAATAGGATTTTCGTCCCATTTCCTACCTTGTAGACTATGTTTCTACTTAGATCAGGCCACAAATTTCTTATTGTTCTCCAAGCTGACACCCCATAAGTGCTATTTACAGAGTTGGAGACCCAATTTTCATTCAACCCGTATTTGTTGGCTATCACCTCCCTCCACAGTGCTTCTTCCTCAGTGTTGAACCTCCGTAGCCATTTTGACAAACGACATCTATCTGCAGCCCCAAGTTTCTGATTCCAAGTCCACCTGATTGTTTATGGAACTGTGCATTCTACCACATGACTAAATGCAAACCCTCCCTTCTTTACCCCTTTCCACAAGAAATCTCTTCTTAGTTTGTCAAGTCTTTCTTTCACTTTAGTAGGCGTAGGGAATAAAGACATAACATAAGTTGGAAGAGAGTCCAACACAGAGTTTATTAAAGTGACTCTCCCTCCCAAAGAGATATACTGAACTTTCCAATTGGCCAATTTCTTCTCTCTTTTCAATTATGTCGTCCCAAATTTCTAGCTCTTTATGATGTGCCCAAATGGCATACCCAAGTTTCTGATTCCAAGTCCACCAGATTGTTTATGTAACTGTGCATTCTACCACATGACTAAATGCAAACCCTCCCTTCTTTACCCCTGTCCACAAGAAATCTCTTCTTAGTTTGTCAAGTCTTTCTTTCACTTTAGTAGGCATAGGGAATAATGACATAACATAAGTTGGAAGAGAGTCCAACACAGAGTTTATTAAAGTGACTCTCCCTCCCAAAGAGATATACTGAACTTTCAATTAGTCAATTTCTTCTCTCTCTTTTCAATTATGCCGTCCCAAATTTCTAGCTCTTTATGATGTGCCCAAATGGCATACCCAAGTAAGTAGTGGGAAGATGTTCTACTTTACACCCCAATATCCTCGCTAGGCTCTGAAGTTGAGGGACTTCTTTAATTGGAAAGATGCTGCTTTTCCTCCAATTTACTGAGAAATGCGAGACTGCTTCAAAAACCACCAAAGTCATTCTTATAATGGCAACCTGTTCAGCCTTGGCTTCACAGAAAATAATTGTGTCATCTGCATAAAGCAGATGCAACATCTGCATTTCCCTTCCTGAATAGTTGCAAATCTTGAAGCCTTTTAACCAATTGTTTTTGGTAGCTACTCTCATCATACTATTATAGCCCTCCATGGCTAGGATGAAAAGGAAAGGAGAGAGTGAGTCTCCCTGCCTTGGACCCCTTTCTGACGGGAAAAAACCAACAGGTTTTCCATTAACTAAAATGGAGAACTTAACAGTTTTCATGCAATAATCGATCCACTTCAGCCATTTATCCCCAAAACCCATTTGTTTTAGAATCATTATTAGGAAGCCCCAATTGACATGATCATAAGCCTTCTCTATGTCCAGCTTGCACATAATTCCTGGATCATCTCCTTTGACTCTGATGTCCACATACTCACTTGCTATAAGTGCTGCATATTCCTATTTCTATTCCTACTACTATTCCTAGTCCTATTCTAAGTAGGATTGTATATACATATTTCTATTCTAACAAGAGGGAAGCAAAGTCAAACGGAATGGGGTATTTCTTCATTAGTTATCATGTGAGTGAGATGAAAAGAACGAAATTGGGGAGCATTTGAAGAAGTTGTCTAGGATTTTGTAATTTTGCAAAGTAGCCTCTTGATTTTAGTTTCTTTTTGGCAAACCCATGAGGTCCCCAATTATATGGAGAAGATTGGGTTTCTTTGTTGGAGAACCATATTTTGGTATATAGGTTCTCCACTTTATGGTATACAGCTTGTATACAGGGTTTCCCCTTCATTAATAAAATTATTTACCTTATCAAAAAATATAGTTACAGATTTGCAGAAATTTTGGTGTTAGACATTATGTTGGCTTAGGTGGTGCTATGTTGACATTTGATATCTGACAGTATCTTGGATGTTTAGTTAGTACTTATGGTTTGTGGAATGTGTGTTTTGGTTTGAAGTTATCTTTTGCAATTGTATCCAATTCGTAATTTCCACCTAACTTTGAAAGTTTTATGTGTTCCCATATATATGTCTAATACAACTACTGTATCTGTATCTGCATTAATTCGACTTAGAGATACACTACGGGAGGTTAAAGGCAAAATTCTGCATAATATTTGACTTCATATCACATTTGGCTTTATATCACAGATCTAGTCGCATTTCTAGCTTATCCTATCATAATTGTCTTCTTTTCACATGAAAGAAAAGCTATGATGGTACCTAGTAGTTAAGCCAGCTGGAGGCAGATGAAGAACATTAGAAGACGAACTATGTAACAAGCAGAACGATAGAACCTTCATCAAACAATACAGGAAGACTCTGTAAGAGAGACCTAACATCTCCTACCAAACCAAAAACACAAAGTTAGAGGGAATTGCCTGATGATGATAGATAAGAGACAAAGCCTTTTCAACCTTTTACTGTGTGTTTTTCAGGGAAGTCCTTAAAAAATACAAAATTTACTCAGATTTTCTTCATTGGTCTCCACAAACTACACAAAATAATATAATGCGTAGGATAAGGCTAAGAGCAAATGACCACTGTCGACTTGAAAAAGGACACATATACAAATACTTGCCAACCCTTCAGAAGATAGGTCTTCTCAGAACAGTAAATTTTCAGACCTTAATCGCATCTTGAAACTTGTTCGAAAGATCCAGCCTCAGATTTTGACCCTCGGATGACACCCGTTTGCATTCTTCCTGCAAATTACAGAAAACAGACAACTTAACGTCATAGAAACTTATAATGAAGGGAAATACACAAAAAAACAACATAAACTGCAGAGTAATAAGATATTATTAATTCATCACCAATAAGCGAAGCAAAAAGTGTAAAAAGACAATATAGCAACAGCCTGCTATGTAATGTAGGTGGCATAGCAATGAAACATACAAACAACCAATAAGCACGCCTCATAAAAAGCCATGACTTCATCCCAGAATAAATGGCACGATAACACAACTTCCACTCTACTTGACACAGATTTTATCCATCAAAATATGAAAATTGAGAAAAAGAACATCCTTATGGAAAAAGGGAGTTATAATGAGCGTTCAAGAATTTCAAGACGTAAATGATAACAACCTTGAGAACTGAAAATCAAACAAGTTACAAACTTTAAAAAAAATATATGAAAAAAGGACTGGCCATCTCTAATGTCATCTAATTAAAAGATGATAATCTAGATAACAGTCAATTATAGCACTCACTGTTAAATGGAAATTGGGGACACTAACTATGACAAGAAGAGAGACGGCCAATTAATGACAATAACCCTGTTGAACTGTATTTATCATCTCAACCTAATTCAGGAAAGCAGTCTGACATTGGGCTGTATGCTTAGTTACTAGTATTCAGTGTTACAAATAACAACTCAGAAAATTTCTTTGGACTTGGGCTTCTAGACAGCAAGTTGTTAAGGAGAAAAAAGGTAACAGAGACTTTAAGATGACAAACTAATGTCAGAGTATGTGCCAAAGGAATTGTATACGCTAAGTAAAAGAGCAAGTCATTGATGCTCTTGGCAATTACTAAATTACTAGGACTAAGATCCACCAATTAAATGGCGTATGTCCACCTAAGAAGAGATTCCTCTTGTACCACTAAGGCTGGATGTGAGGTTTTGGTGCAGCAATTCCTTGCATAGGGGCTAAGAATATACAGAAACTTTATTGAATATGGAATAGACCTTACCATTAATACTTTGTTTTGGCGCTGCAACTCACGGCACAATGACTCCAGTTTATCCCGAACAGCAATAGCTGAATTAAATGAACGAAAGATGTCAGTAGTTCTTATTTCAGTTCATAAGCAGGCGCCTTGGTGGTTGGTTTTGCCTCCAACAAGGTACATGTTCTTCAAAACCTATCCGCTTTAGAGCACCAAACAAGTCTCCCAAATGTGAAATAAACCATAAAATGTGGAACCAAGAATAAAGATTTCTATTGAATTGCAAAATAGAAAAAACTTTTAGTCTACAGACTATGTATCTGCATGATAGCTAAATTAAAAGAAACGCTCCCGGTGTTACCTCTGTGGTGAACTGGCAGAGACAATTAGCCATCTTTAATTACACTGTAAATGGGAAGATTAACTGTAGAACATCTTTATAAACCTAAGGTAAAATAGATTAATAATGCCCAGAAGCATTAAAGATGTCTTAACATGATGGAATAGAGATGGAATTCAGCCATGAAGGAGGAGTGATGGAAGATTGTCACGGATTGTACTTGGTGGTATATTTGGGCAGAAAGGAACAAAATATTTTTCGAGAATTAGCAATCCATTCCATCACCTTTCTGGGTATAGTCGATCTTCTCATCATCCTACAAAATTCCTTCTTCCCAGATGCCATCAAGTGATATTGAATGACTTCAAGCCAGCATTGAAATATATTATATCTTCCTTCTTTCTTGATCTGATATGATACTTCACAAAAACTGGTTAAGAAAAGAAAAGGTGGCTGTCACAGAAGGTGGCAGCTAGGTGAACAAGAAAGATGCGTACAATCTCTGGGAAATTTCACCGGAGAAGGGTGATTCCCCTAATAGGAAGCAGGAGAGAGAAATGTCTCTGTGGATGTGCTTGGGGGCTTTTTTTTATGTGTTGATATATTGTAATGCTGCTTGTTATTAAAAGAGTACTGCAACCTTAATAACTACTCCTAGTGATGTGCTTAATTACATTCACAATTTTACAGATATAATTCTGGTCATTCAAAGTTTTGTTACTATCAAATTTCTTTGTAAACAGAATGGGTCGGGGAGAGAGAGGCTTAAGATAAAGGAGACCCTCTGTCCCCTTTACTCTCTATCTTGGCTATGGAAGGTCTGGACAGTTTAATGAGAGTTGCTACTCAGAATAAGTGGATAAGGGGCTTCTCTATCAAAACAGGGTGAATGATACAATGGAACTGACACATTTTTTGTATGCAGATGACACAGTGGTATTCTGTGAAGCAGAGCAGGAACAAATTTGCTACTAAAGAGTGATCTTGGTTGTTTTTGAAGCTTTCTCAGGTCTCAAAGTTAATTCAAGAAAGAGTAGTAATTTTCCAATAAAGGAGGTGCAGCAGATTGTGACTCTGGCAAATATTTGAAGTGCAAGACAGAAGAGTTGCCTACAGTCTACCTAGGCATGCCCTTGGGCTTCAAGCACAAACCAGGAAATTGAGAAATCTGAGAAGAAATTGGCTATATTTTTCGAACTTAGTAACTTTTTAATATATCACAAAACAGTACAAGGGTCGTACTGTAACCTTATATCACAAGTGTACTCCTGATTTCACTTCTCTACATCTAAATTGAGCCTAACACATTAATAATAGAGACAGTGTCATTAGAGTATAACTGATTACACCAAAAGACTAAAAGTAACATGAAGTTTAGTTTAACTTTCTGCTCATTGTTCTCGATGCTCTCAAAACATCTTGAATTCCTTTCTTTCCAAACAACCCACAAGATAGCCCCCGGGATAATTCTCCATCTACCTCTGTCCTTAACATGTACACCCGCTTCTTCTAGCAAAGTAATGCCTCAGCCACCTTCCTACGCATTGTCCAGGAGAGTGCCTTTGAGGCTTAGGAATATTCTCCACAGATGATGGGAGTACTTGCAATGTAAAAATAGATGGTTAACAGTTTCTGATATTTCACCACATAGAAAGCACCTAGAACACAAGGTTTTTCCCCCTCTTCATAACATTGTCCTGTGTAAGGACTGCTTCCTTAGCCATTGACCAGACAATAAAGGAGACTTTGTGAGGGATTTTGCTCTTCCATATTTGCTTCCAAGGCCAACTTGAGCACTGGTGATCTGTCTGATCCATCAACTTGTCAGACTTGTTGACTTTGAACACTCCCTTGTCATCTCCTGTCCACCAAAATTTATCCTCACCTAGCTGTAGTCAAGTGAAAGTGTTCACAATGTTTAAAAATTCAGCAACTCTCACTATTTCACTACCATTAAGGATTCTTCTAAAAATGAAATTCCATCGTTGTGGTGACCATAGATCTGCTATAGTGCTTTGTTGAAACATGATTAGGTTGTAGATGTCTGGAAAGAGATCTTCCATGTTGCCTCTCTCATGCCAAATGTCCTTCCAAAATCCGGTGTTATTCCCATCCATTACTTTTGCCTTTGACTTACTTTTAACTTCATTCCACAAGCTTCTGATAGACCTCCAGAGGCTAAACACCATACGGAGCGCACTTCTTTAGTTATCCAGTTGTCCTCTTCTTCATATTTGGCTCTAATTACTTTCCTCCATAGCATCTGGTTGTTGTTTGCATACTTCCACAACCACTTCATACTAAGAGCCTTGCTTTGTAATTTCAAATTCTTTATTCCTAGACCTCCATTTCCTTGCTTATCATGACTTCTTCCCATTTAACCAAATGAAAACTTTTCTTTTCTTTGTTGCCTTACCAGGAAAAATTCCTCCTCATACGACCCAACCCCTTAATGACCCCTGGTAAGATAGGAAACATGGACATCATATAGGTTGGCAAAGCATCAAGTACTGAGTAAATGAGGGTCAGTCTACCCCCCTTTGATAAGTACTGAGACTTCCACTTGGCCAATTTCTTCTCACACTTCTCGATCACACTATTTCATATGTCTATGGACTTGGATTAGGCCCCCAAAGGCATTCCCAAGTATATAGAAGGCAGAACTCCTATTTCACAGCCCAGAGTTGCTGCTAAACAACTCATGTTGTTTACTTCATTTATAGGATACATCATACTCTTCCTCCAATCGATATGCAAACCAGAAATAGCTTCAAATAAGACCAGTATCACTCTTAGATACTTTAGTTGTTCTTCCACAGCATCGCAGAAAATCAAGGTATCATCTGCATACTGCAAGTGTGTGACTTTCTAGTCTCTCAGTACCTTCTCTGGCAACATCAAAACCCCTTAACCATCCTCTCAAGTTAGCAGTTTTTATCATGTTGTTTAAACCCTCTATAGTGATCAGGAATAAAAAAGGTGACAAGGGATCCCCTTGTCTGAGACCTCTTTGGGTTTGAAAGAAACCTTCAGGGATACCATTGATGAGTACTAAGAATCTTACAGTTGATATGCAAATCTTTATCCAGTTCAACCATTTCTGCCCAAAACCTATCAGATTCAACATCTTCAATAAGTATTTCCAGTTAACATGGTCATAAGCTTTATATATATCCAACTTGCAAAGGACACCTGGCTTCTTTTGGCTATTTCTGGAATCAACTTCTTTATTTGCACTCAAAACTGCATCCATTATCTGTCGCCCTTTAACAAAAGCCATTTGTTGTGAGTCTACCAAACTTGTCCACCACCCTTTTCAGCCTCTCGGTAAGAACTTTGGAGATAAGTTTGTAGATGCTACGAATTAGATTAATTGGCCTGAAGTCACGCAACTCCTTGGCACCTTTCTTTATGGGTATAAGAGCTATAAAAGTTGCATTGAAACTCTTCTCAGAAACTTCATGTTCATAGAAGTTTTGAAAGGTGTCCATGATGTCTTGCTTTACCACATCCCAACATTTAATTAAAAAACCCATAGTAAAACCATCTGGACCTGCTGCTTTGTTGATAGCAGACAACTTCAAACATCTCAATACTTCACTTTCCTCAAAGTTGCTTTGAAGAGCTTGAGTATCTTCTTCTGTTAGGACAGGACATTGCACATTTATGTACTCAGGTCTCCACTTGGATGATTCCTTATACAACCTTTTATAATGTTCAACAGTTTCCCCTTTAATTCTGCTTGGCTCTTGATTCAGTTCTTCATGTATCATAAGCTGATCAATGTTGTTGTATCTCCTATGTGCATTTGCTACGTTGTGAAAGAATTTAGTATTCTTATCACCATTCTTCAGCCATAGAGCCCTTGATTTTTGTCTCCAGGAGATCTCCTCCTTTTTTATCAACTCTTCATATTTGAACATCAATTCAGATTTTTTGGCAGACTCCTCATTAGTAAGGTCTGTCTACCCTCTCAGCTTCTAGATCAGCCAGCTGTTCAAGCAATTTCTCCTATGTATACCCAAATTTTCCTCCATTCTTTAAGTTTAGTCTTCAGAGCTTTTAGTTTGCAAGCCAATCTATAATCAGGTTTCCCTGTGAAGTTGAAAGAAGACCACCATTCTCTGACTCTGTCAATGAAGCCCTCAGATTCTAACCACCAATTTTCGAATTTGAAGTAACTTTTGTTCCTTTCCCAAGACCCCCCCCCCACACACACACACACAATAAGGCTATAGGAATATGATGTGAAATCAACCTTTGAAGTGGAATTTGTTTCAAATTTTGGAACATGTTATCTCTAGGAGGAAAAGTTTAACTAATCAACTCAGTACTGGACTCTCTATCCACATATATGATGTCCCTTTTCCCTATTCCTAGTAAGGTTGTCAAGTCTATAGATGCTCTAAGAAGAAATTTCTTTTGGAAGGAAATAAGATAGAAAAGGGCTTCAACTTGGTTAAATGGCCTATAGCACAACAAGGTAGGAAAAGTGGGGCACCGGGAGTTAGGAACTTAAAGCTTCATAACAAGAGCCTACTTCCAAAAAGGTTCTGGAAATATGTTCAGGAAGAGAGCTTTGTGGAAAGAAACTTTTTTTGGGTTTCCCACCCGATATCATGTACTCACATTGGAGCCCGACTAAATCAGAATTCGCGCCGGGAAGTCCCACATTCAGGGGTAAAGCACTCCTAACAAAGGCGACTCCGCACCCATATCTATGGAGAAAGTAAATACATCACAAATAGGGAAGCAGGATCACTGGGGATGGTTCATTTGTTTCTAACCTCATCACATGTCGCTGTCAAAACTAAAGGGAAATCAGTATAGAAGTAGAACTCGAGGGTATATTGAACCTAAAGTATAACGAGAGCGGTATATTTAGTCCAAAAGTATAACGAGAGGTATATTTAAACTATTCTAATAGTACAGGGGCATATTTAATGCTTTCCTATTTCTAGTTTCCTAGTCTTTCTAGTTAATCAACATCACTTACGGGAAGTAACTTGAATAAAATAATTAGCATTAGTTTAATTTAAACAATATGTGGGACAATAATTTCATCATAGTTGACCACGTATACTTGTGAGTGCATTTGGCCTCAACATGTGACATTAAAACCTGAAATAATCATCGCTTGTGAAAACAATAAAAAATTATCCATATCCAGAGGAAATGGGGAAGACGCAAATTATGATAGAAAGGAAGCCTGAAACTGAAAAAATAGCAAAATTAGGATTATAACAAGACACCTGAATCTCTTTCTGCAAGAACCTGCTGATACTTCAAAGTGAATTCCAAAAACTCTTTTTCAGACTTAAAGGTACGTTTTACCATCTTCCGTTTGGTTTCAGAGGCATCCTAACACATGAATATAACCAAAAGAGCGAAGTTACAAAACAATCAGAAAAAAAGGGAACCTGCACATAGCTTGATATAAGAAACAACATCCTAAAATTTGATAGCAAGAAAAGAAACAGAAAACACAAATCTCATTTTTTTTGTTAGTAATGGGGAAATAAAAAAGAAAAAGCAGCAAAGACGCACCCTAGGACAGCTAGATTGTTTCTTCATACTAATTTCCAGCCAAATGACTAGAAGTGTGAACCCTAGTAATACAGTACTAATCCTCAAAAAGAAGTGTGAACCCTAGTAATAATGGAGGAATATTGCAGTTCATTTTAACACTAGCTCAGGGAGTTGGTGGAACTGAAGCACATAAACCACCTGATGGTAACTACTAAGATGGAAAGTTACTAACAGGCAATAAAATGAGTAACTGATACTTGCAACATATTGAAATAGTAAGTACGTAATATAAGAGTAGCGAACATGATTACTGTTTATAGCGACACTAACTATGCATGTTTAACTATTGAACTCTGGATTTTTGAAGGATTGTTTGTATACTAAGATCTCATTTATAGCATCTCTTGCGGCAGCATTTCTAAATTCTCCAAGAATCATCTCTTGATTCCCTTCACTTGAGAATTGTTACATATTCTTTGATCAGTACTACAATAGATGACATTTGAGTTTTCTTTGTCAACGAATTCCTTAATTTTATTTGCAATATCAACCCATCCCACATCCTCTGTGATTACAGAAATGATCATGACGTCCTTCTAACCTTTGATAGAACAATCCTAGCATACCTCAGAATGCTGAAGTTTTGAAAAATATAATAGGACAATGTTCTACATTCCTCCATCTTCCGCATATTTTCCCCTTCAGATGCAAGTCTGAGGCACTTGCAAGAAACTTGGGAATATTGAATCTCAAAATTGATTCTACAAAGTTCTTACTCCTTTGAAGATATTCTTCTACCTGAATATAAGCAAGGAAGCAGTAGGATCTAGATTCAAACATGCTTTAGTTTTCTCTTCTGTTTTTCATGGTGGAATGTCTTGATAGCAGCATCAGAGTGAGAGTTTGTACTACTTTTTTGTTTAACGATGGTGTCCAAGTAAGTTTGTGCACAACTCGATTATTTCACCGGATACTTTCTACCTGCCGAATAACTCTATTCACCAACTTATGCAAATGTGAAGTATGAGAAATATAGGAAAAAAATATTATTGAATTGTTGTTTTGTCTACATTATTACACGAGACCCTATTTATAGACCCTAGAATACGATCCTTGACCAAATAGGATACTATTTAATATTCCTATTCCTATTCTAATAGGATTGTACAAACATATTCCTATTATAATAGGATTGTATAAACATATTCCTATTCTAATAGGATTGTATAAACCTATTCCTATTCTAATAGGATTGTATAAACCTATTCTTATTCCAAAAGGATTATATAAACTGATTTCTATTCTAACACTCCCCCTCAAGCTAGTGCATACAATTCATGTACCTAACTTGTTACAAATGTAATAAACACGAGGACCGATGAGGGACTTGGAAAGATATCCGCAAATTGATCAAACGACTTCACAAAATTGACAGTCACGTCAATCTCAAATGTGCTTGTCTACTCATCAAATAATGGATTTGATGCATAATGTCAGTAAACACAGAGATAAAATTCCAGTGTTAACTTCCCAAACTAAAAAACCTGCAAAGACTAAACCCAACTGCTGTTCGGAACCTAAAACAGGATCTTGCTGACCTCCGAATCCAATCTCCACCGTTCAAATCAACCACCAAGATGTCAGGAACACATAATCCAAATTTTAGCCCGATCCAACGGTTGCTGGTCGGAGAAAAAGACTGCAGCAAAAGAACTATTTTTCTTCTCTCTTCTCTCTAGTTGAAAGCCCTCTAAAAGAAAAACCTCTCTTATGTCCTATCAAAGACAAGACCAAAAAAACTGCTTCAAACCATAGAGTGACTCACATAATCGACATACAAGGCTACTACACTCCCCTGAGCCAAAATGCTCAAAACCTAGTACAAAGTATATGGATCATGTTGGAATCAATAGATGAGTTGATAATAAATAAGTCACTGAAAAACTGGTTGGAATATGCTCATATGCCAGAGTATTAGATTTGATGGCTAAAAGTGGTCACAATATAAGGAATAAAATTATATAGGTATGGTCTGAATGATGTCACGACCCCATTAGTAAATAGAAATTATATAGGATAGTTCGAATTTGATGGAACGACCCCATCGAAAAAGAGAAATAACATGGGTAGGTTTGGAATGATGGCATAACCCTATGCAAATCAGATTTGAGGAGTCACCGGAAAGACGAATGGAACTATGCAAATCAAATTTGAGTCACTGAAAAGACACATGAAGTTATGCAACTTAGATATGAAAAAATAGTTCGGAAAAATCTGTGGTACTACAGAAATTAAATATGAAAAGCAGTCCGGGGAGATGCACCGTGCTACGCAAATCAGATATGAAAAAAAAAGGTGGTCACCAGAAAGATGGCACGGTGCTGCACAAATTATATATGAAAAAGTAGTCATTGGAATGATGGCACAGTGCTACACAAATCAAATATGAAAAAGTAGTCACCGAAATGATGGAACGGTGCTTCACATATTAAATATGAAAAATTAGTCACCAGAATGATGGCATGGTGCTATACAAATTAGATAAGAGAAAATAGTCACGAGAAAGATACACGGTGACTCAACTTTTGCTAACATAATCATCGGCAGGCGCGCAGCATATATGAGTGATAGCCGCCCGCAGACAGCAGAAGCTCTTTGATTTTCTACCAAGATCATAGAGGCTCTGATTACGTGTGAGAAATATAGGGAAAAAATATTGTTGAATTGTTGTTGTGTCTGCATTATTACACGAGACCCTATTTAAAGACCCTAGAATACAACCCTTTACCAAATAGGATACTATTTAATATTCCTATTCCTATTCTAATAGGACTGTATAAACATATTTCTATTCTAATAGGATTGTATAAACTTATTCCTATCCTAATAGGATTGTATAAACATATTTCTATTCCAATAGGATTATATAAACCTACTTCTATTCTAACATAAAGAAATTACTGAGTAGTTTTTTGGTTCTGCTGGAATTTGAACTTAAGACCTCATGGTTTCACTCGACTTTATTGACTATTAGGCTACACCCTTCGGTGCAAGCTTATAATGGCTTGATAACCCTTCATTTTGCCCCTCAACTTAAGCTTTGAGAGTAATTCAACTGTGTACTTCCCAACGAATTAAGTTCTTTTCTTTCTTAATAGAAAACTGAGCCACAAACTCTTGTTGCAATGATCGAGTAACCTCCACACCCCTGTTACTACACTAAACACGTGATTACTATTGACTTTTCACTTAAATAATATTGTGTTTCATCCCATTCCTTCTCTTTGTATTTATTATATACCATTGTTTCTTTATATATCATTTATATAACAATAAACTCTCGATTACATTATTGATCCTAGAAATCTAAAAGTCAAGATTTTCTCAAATTGGGTGATTTTCTTTTGTTGACTTAACCACAGCTAAAGCTAAAAAATGAATCAAGTTTCTTAATAGGTAAAGAGAAAAATGGCCAAAATCCCCCTCAATCTATAGCCGGATTCCCAACTACACACTCATATTTTATAAGGGTCCTATTTTCCCTGAATTTTGTAAAGCTGAAAGTGTTACCTCCCTAAATACTTACCGGGCATAGTGAGTGTATTTCACTCTCTTTGAGAGAGTCAGCAGACAAAACAACATTAAGACTTTGTTTAAATATATTATTTCATAAATATATGTATTTTAAATTATTATTTTAAAAAAATTTAATTTCTTTCTTCTCCATGGTATCATATGCCAAACATCTTCACCCTTATCATCCCAAGATTGTCTCGCCATTACCTCCATCTCCACTGGATTCATTATAGTAAATTTGTGACAACTCTCATGTAAAATTTTTGAAAAAAAAATCAAATCCACCATCTCCAATCACCAAAAAAAAAAATTTAATCGAATTAGACTCATAGTGGTCTTGATGGTGGTGTGAATGTTCTCTTTTTCAAGCTTTATTATTTGAAAGAAATGGTGGAGAGCTCTTTGAGTAAGTAGACGAGCGAATGGTTAAGGCGAGAAATAACAAAGCCATAGATGGAGATGGTAGTGGCAACGAAATACTCAGACTATGCCGGCGGCAGCAACATATCCCTTCGGAGAAGAGAAAAGAGCCCCCCCACCCACCCACCCCCTCACACAAAATTTAACCCCCAATATTTTCTCCAAATCAAAGTTTTTTTTGACACTAGTAACATTTGTATTTCAGTCAGTACTACGTAGTATTGAAAAACCATATTTACAAAAAAGAAGAAAAAGATTATAGTCTCTCCAATGTGAACCAGGATCTAGATGGACCTAAAACATCTGTGATTGACTCAGTCTCATTGGAGTAGAATTTGTACACCAAAAACATGAACAACAAATTACATTTAAGCTTGACTTTCTGCAGGTTGTTCTTATTTTCAAAACATTTAGCATTTCTCTCTCTCCATATTGTCCACCATACACCAGCAGGGTCTGTCTCCGTTTGTAGCCCAACTCCAACCTCCTCCCAACTGAAAGAGTCTCATCAATCTTACTAGGCATACTCTAGGAAATGCCTATGAGATTAAGGTGAGATTAAGGAATATTTGCCCGAGTTGGTTAATGAAATTGCAGTGTATTAAGAGGTGGTTTACGGTCTTTGTATCCTTACCATATAAGGAGCATCTGTTGCATAGAGATATACCTCTCTTGGCCACATTGTCCAATGTAAGAATTGCTTCATTGGCAAACAGTCAGGTGAAGCATGCCACTTTTTGTGGCACTTTGACTCTCCAAATTTGCTTCCAAGGCCATTTGAAGTCTTGATTCTCCCTAAGATTTGTTTGTTTTTATCCTTCTTTCACCCTGTATCTTCTTTTGTTGTGCCCATGCCACCATAAATAGTCTCCACCTGTTTGGATTCCTTGAAAACACTCCAGTAGCTTGAAAAGTACAATCATTCTAGCAATTTCCCGGTCGTTCAAGTTTCTTCTAAAGATCATATTCCACCTTGTGGTGACCACATTTCAGCAATAGTTTTCTCTTGGTCAAAAAAAAGATTTCAAGGAAGATATCTGAAAGGCTCACAGTAGCGATGCATTTATCAATCCAAAAACTTGTTTTACTACCATTTTGAACTTTGACAGTTAATTGATTACTGAGGAACTACAAATTATTCTAATGGATTCCAGAGGCTAATACCATATGGGGTGTTGACCTCTTTAGTTACCCATGTGTTCAGTTGCTCATACTTGCTTTTGATTACTCTATACCAGAGGGCTTGGTCTTCCTGACGGTACCTCCATAGCTAGTTGACCTTGAGTGCTTTGCTTTGGTATTAAAGGTTCTTGATACCTAGTCCACCTTGTTCTTTACTTCTGATAATGTTCTTCCATTTGACAAAATGAAAACCTTTCCTTTCCCTATTGCCTTTTTACAAGAAGTTTCTTCTGATTTTATCCAACCTTTGAACCTTTTTACAAGAAGTTTCTTCTGATTTTATCCAACCTTTGAAATATTGACTGGAGTATATGGAAGATAGATAACATATATGTAGTGAGGACATCTAAAATTGAGTTCGTCAAAGTTAGTCTACCTCCCAAGGATAGATATTGTGATCTCAATCTGGTTAATTTCTTTTCACATTTCTCCTGAATTGGATTCCAAATATCTATGGGCCTATACTCTGCCCCCAAAGGCATGCCCAAGTATATTGATGGCAAAGTGCCTATCCCACCACCCAAGATTCGAGAAAGGTGATCCATTTCTGGAACCACATTAATTGGATACAACGGGCTTTTGTTCCAATTAATACGGAGCCCATAAATAGCCTCAACTTACACCAATATAAGTCTTATAATCAAGAGTTTCTCCTCCTTTGTCTTACAAAAAAATTAGTGTATCATCAGCCAACTGCAGATGTGTGATCTCTACACTGTTTCCAGCAACCTTGCTAATTTCAAATCCCTAAATTCTTGTTGTTCTCCTAATAAAAGTTCTCACAAAATAGTTAGGGCTAAAATATGAATGAAGAAGAAAGATTAAGGAAGAATAAGAACGTCTTTTAAAAAAGATATCAATAGGTGTTCCACCACAAGACACGTGACGTTTTAAAGGGCTACTTATTTCATTGTCAAATAATTTGGGGATAACAGAACCCTCGTGAAGTATGAGTGTGTAGTTTGAAATCCGGCTATAGGCTTGGGGGGGGGGGGCTTTTGGCCATTTTCCCATATGTAAATCCAGGTACTCCTATAACAAATTTGAATCTTTCCACTTTCTTTGGGTTGTTAGTAAGCCTAGTAATTTTAAACAATAACCACATATCCACCTTAGCATCCTCATTTCTTCAACATGCATCTTCTGGACATAGCATCCTCATACAACAAGGGTTAACCACCACCCTCTAAAACTTACTTCTAATTTTCCGTGGTACCTTTGCATCACACAAAATTCTAGAGGCAAGCCTCCAATTCATCCATGCCATACCAATACGGTGTGTGATATCATTGTTGATGTATCCACTCCCCTGCATTATTGACCCAACATACCTAAATCTATTTCTCTTGGGGATATTTTGAGTATCAAGCCTCACTTTCACGCTTACCTCATGCATCACATCATTGAACGTGCACCCCACATTCTCAACCTTAACTCTTTATCCTCCAATGTTTGTCTCCATAGCTCCAACTTAGCATTCACTCTATCGTGTGTCTCATCTGTCAATACTATGTCATTGGCACTTCATCTTGAATATATCGCGTTAATACATCCATCACTAAGGAAAAAAAGAAACGGGCTAAGAGTCGACCCCTGGTGTAACCCATCTCCATATGAAAGTACTCCAAGTCTCCTCCCACCATTCTTACCTTAGCTATTTCATACATATCCTTTATCTCCTTTACGTAGGCCACCAACACACCTCTTGTCGTCTAGCATCGCCACAAGACTTCCCTCAAGACTTTATCATAGGCCTTTTCAAGGTTAATGGACACCATATATAAGTCCCTCTTTCTATCCCAGGAATAGCTGTTGTGGTCAATCTCCCGAGCATGAATCCAAATTGATTCTCAAAAATAGACACACCACTTCTCACTCTTATCTGCACCACTTTCTCCCAAACTCTTATAGTGTGACTTAACAACTCCATACCCCCGTAGTTGTTGCAATTTTGTATATCACCCTGGTTTTTTTACAACGGAACCGTTGTACTCCACCTTCATTTCTCGCGTATCATAGCCACTCCAAACCTGCTTTATTTGTGCTCTTCCAGAACTCCATTGGGGTCTCATTTGGTTCTGCTGCTTTTCCGTTACCCATTCTACTAATAGCACACTTCACTTCCTCAACCTTAATACGGTTATAATACCTGAAGTCCCAACAACAATCTATTTTTACATTGTACAGTCAATACTGACTTACGGAGTATGTTTTGTGTATATTTGGTAGGAATTGGGTAATGCCACATAGCACCAAAGAGGCCTTTGAATGCTGGTCCAATTGGAGAGTTGGTAAGGCCATCAAGCCATTCTGGAAGATGATATCTACTATATCATTTGGTGTGTATGGTCAGAAGAGAACAACAAATGTTTTGAAGGCATATCATCTCTATATCACTCCCTTGGGGATATCTTTTGTAACTATATAGTTGGCATAATCTTTCACCCATATATTCTCCTGAGTACTTTTTGAACTTTGTTAGCTCCCTGGCAGTAGTGGTCTTTTTTGTAATTAAGCTAATTAAATTGTCATCTTCCTAACTTTTGTACTATTTTTCATCTTCTTGATGCCAGCAATGAAATTTCTTATTACTTCGTCAAAAATTGTTAACACATACTTCCCTAAAACATTACTACCTATCCCTTTTTTTGTAATAGATTACTACCTATCCCTTAATTCATATGATTTAGTGTTTGCCAAGAGAAGGTTTTCCTTTCATTTCCATTTTGTGTTGATCATGTAAACATGGTTAACTGATCAAAACAAATTACTGACACGGTTTTCCTCTCATTGACATAACCTAAGCTAAAGCTACTTTGTAAATAAAATTGTGGTTCACAGAGTCCGTTGGTGCAGATTAGGACAGAAATGAAAGAAAGAACAACAGACCTGTAGAGAGTGGAAAAAAGAACTGATGGAACTGGTCTACCATAAAAACTAAGAGACGTAGAAAAGATTAAGCTGTAACACAGGGAAGACAATTAATATAGCAGGAGAATCAATTTGTCAAAAAGGTGGTCACAGAAGAGGATAGAACTGGCAGTGCACATATCCCAAAATGAGAGAAATAGCCATTTTATTCCATGTTGTAAAAACCAAAGTATCCAATTTGAGAAATGAATAGTCTACTGTGTTTATGCAGAAACATGACTAGATTGGATCAAAAAGCAGGAAAGTGATAGCTAACAAACATATATAACATAAGAAAATTGATATTGATGTTTACTTACTACTTTTTTGTTTTCAACACTCTCTGGTAATGATATCTCCTTGACAGCTGAAATATTTTGGCTCGGGTCTCCTCCAGCTGTGGGAAAAGAAGTATCACTTAGAGAAGGCTGATTGAAGGTTTAAATAACCTAAGATGAAACAATGCTGCAAGTAGAAACATCATGAAGAAGTAAAGAGCTACATGCAAGCGTATAGCCATTCAGACATACGACCACAAAAGAAACTGCATCAGACATTTCTTTGAAGCAATGAACATCATCATTTAAAATGTTATCAGTCATTTTTCATTTCTAATGGATCTCTTTGGAAGATTTTGAAGCTCCAGCATTTTATTATTCAAGCAAATGATCACATCTTGCAATGTTTTTGAACTGCTTCTAAATATTTCCTTTCAATTCTCCATTTCTGTCTTATTTCAACCATCCCATTAACTATATATATTGAAAAACATGATCCATTTTAAAGTGATTTAATGTTTCCATGTAACATTACAATAACAGATAATATAACTGTAAACACAGATAGTTATATCCGTGTGAAATAAGAGAGAAATATACTTACAGTCCTCCATATACTTGGGATGTGATTTTTCACAGTTGGTAGGCTGGGGATGAATTATGTTTTCCTCCTTGTGGTGTGGTTGGGGTGGCAGCGGGTCAGTGGTTGAGCTGAAACCATCTGGCAACGATTCTGCCTCTGGAAGCTGATCTGCGGCAGGGTTCTCACTTTCCATCAGTGATTTTCAGAGAAAATGCCCTAGTAAGTGTCAGAGAGAGAGAGGGGGAGAGGAGAAGGCTGGCTAGCCACAACAGGGTTCAAGCTGACACTTATATATTACTGATACTGATGATGACGACAAATACAAATGACGGCTCCTGGTTTCGTCTTTCTTCAACATCTAACAATATTTCGAAGTTTATCAATATTTAAACCCCCTTTTAATTTATATTATAATATTATATAATAATACAAAATTATAAAAAAGAAATACATTAATATTTTGAAATAATTACAAAAATGACTCAGAAAAATCATGTGAAATATAAATAATGTTATATCTTAACTTTCTATTAATAAAAAAAAATCATTATTTCTAAAAATATTTTTTTTTTCACACTACACAATTTTCCTTAAAAGAAATAATTAAAACTTATTAGTATTATAAAAAAATTATCACTCCATTATGATTAAAAATTAAATTACTTTCAAATGGCTAAATAAAATATGATAATTTTGAGACATAAGACAAAATCATGAAGACCAATGATAAGTGAAACGTAAAATTTCGCAATGTATTTTTATAAGAAATGTTATTGTAACGCACCTAAAACGAACTATGTTGAACTAGAGCTTCGCATGTGTCTCATGAGTTAATTTCGTGTTAAAATGGTTAATAATGATGTTTTGAGGTAGTGTCTAAAGTTTGGTGATGTTTGGAGGTCAAAACGTCCATGACGTTTGAAATATGTGCCTTGGAAAGTGCTTGTGTGTCTTAGTATGTTTTAACAAGTATTAGAGTTAGTTCATAGTCTAAACGTTTGGGTTCGACTCCCCAAGGACCAACCAACGGCCCTTAAGGAGGACCCTTGAAAGTAGTGACAAAAGTTGCCAAGAAGCGGTATCCACAAACGGAACCAGTCGACGACTCGTGGTCCAATCGACGGGTTGTCAATGGCCTCCGTCGATGGAAATTTAGTGAATTTGTCAAAGGGGTCATTTTGGAAAGTCTTAGTCACAAACGATGGACCAACAGGACGGTTGGTTCCTTGGCCATCGTTTGACAAATGGACCGTCTGTCGTAGTGTCGTCTGTGAGGGAACTATTTTGCTGCACGTTTTTAGTTTGGCTAAATTAATTAACTAGGTGGTTAGATAATTACTTGTGGTTTAAAGGGAGGTCTAATTAAGTTAATTAACAACCTATATAAAGACCCTAATCTAATTAAGCTAACCTAAGCCCTCATAATTCCCAAACCCAAATTAGCTCTTCCTTCTCTCTTCTTTCTCTCTCCCAAAAAAAATTCATTGAAACCAAGATAGAGGTGGTTTCTAGGTCTTCAAAACTCAAAGTTTCTCCATCAATCTTCATCAAATATCAAGGTATGAGATTCTTTTCACCTTTTGGGACTTCTTTCACCAAAGGGTTCCATCAAATTGATTTAAAAAATATGAAATTCAAGTGGGTTTTCATCCAATACGAAATTGATCTTGTTAATAGATTTATTTATGATTTCTTTTGGATATTATGAATATATTAACGTGTATTATAACTCCATTGTAATATTTCTTAATGAATTGGTTTAGTTTGTAGAAGATGACCTAGTCCTCTTAACCCTAGGTTGTGATCTTAAAATTGAACTATCTAGTATTGATGTAATTGGCTTAGTTAATGTCTGAATTACTATCCTATGATGTTATTTTGCTAATTTATGAATAGATTGAGATAAATTGTAGTCCTATCATGATAGTTATTGAGTAATTGACCTAGATGGTGAAGTAGACTACGAACTTTCTCTAAGTCTCTAATTCTAGGCTATGAACTCGTGAAGGATTAATGTATAATGATTCAATTGGTCTTGTTGTTATGTTTTTTAATATTATGTGATGCTATTATACCATTGTTGGGTTAAGTTGGAGGTTGATGGTAAGACCTTGATGATGGCATTGTGAAGACGATTTAGTAAGTTTTGTGATCTTTATTCTTTACTTCGATTATGTTTACTTGTGCTTAAGTAATTATGTTGTATTGAAGTAGACCTTATATTAAGATTGATAAGGTTGGTATGATGTCGAATTGAAATGTCTTGAAATATGTATTGTGAGTTATTGGCTAAGATGTAAATGTTATAAGGATGGTGATAACTTACCAATGTACCTTATTATGATGTGACTATATAAATGTGCTAAACTCATATAAGAATTCTAATGAAAGGAAAATACTCATGCAATTATTATTGAGCTATGATGATGATGATTATATAAGGGACACACCTTATGAACTACATTAAGCTATGATGAGTAATAAAGACATTAAAGACATTTCAAAAGGGACTCTAGCTTAGCACCGAGTGAACTAGTGTGAGGAGTGTCCCTTCCAACATAGGGAAGGTAATATCACTAATGTACTCATTAGATTGGATACTATAATGCATGTACCATAAGAAGGGTCCCAAATATATCTCCTAGTTCTTGAACTATGTTGCCCCCATAGAAATACTCGCTAGTTGATCCACGTATTTGTGATGTTCATGCTTTGGTACTACCTTGGAAAGTAGTCCACCTTCCTTCGGTGTAGGGTTCCATGACACTGATTCCTCATTAACTCATGTGGTCTATGTTGGTTAAGGCAAGATGTTCCCAAAAGGTAAAGATGAACTAAAGGAATGAACTCTAATTAGGATGACGTAAGGGGTTTAGCTTAGTCTAGGTATGGGTATGGGACTCTACCTAAACATTGCACTAGTTAGCCTTGAGGGAAGTCTTAGGAGGATGTTCTTATATATGTATATTCTTATAATTGTACATGATATGTATATGATGATTTTGCACATTGATGATAGTATATGATGATTGGTTTCACTTATGAATACGTGTTTGGTCTCTATTGCTAAAGTATGATGATATTTACTATTAATGATATGCTATGTGAAGTTAGACATTGGTCATGGTTTTTGTTTAGTTTACTTGATTGAGTACGGTTCCAGGGCTTTTCTCAGTTATTGCACTAGTTGACTTAAGAAAGGTTCATGGGTAATGGTCTTGCTTTAGTTATGTTATAATGAACTCTTATCCATGCTTGTTGATGTTATAGCTTGATGGTAGAGTTGTCTTGATTATGTGATATGCATGTTGTCTTGACTAGACTTAGTATTGTTGGTCTTATGATTTACATGTTCTTGACTTAATGAATATGTCTAATTGATTGGTATGGTCTTCTTGAACGTTCATAAGGGTTTTCAAAGTAAATGCATACTTTAATGAAATGTTCATTTTTAGAATGATTTTATGATATGTGTGCATATGGTCTCATACTTAGTACAACTGATCCGGTCATTGAAGGACTTTTGAGATGACTTTGAAGGAAGACTTGGGATTCTGACTCATCCAAGTTGGGTAGGTCCTTACTTTCCGAGGGAAATGCCGCTATCAACATCTTGATTTTGTTTTAGTTATAAGACTTCTAGTTCTTTCCTTTTCATTTGAGTACTAAACATTGTATAGCCTATATGTGGTTTTATTATGTTGATGTATGGGATATGCCCAATTGATATACTGTTGTTTTAGATGGTTATGAGGTGAGACATCCAGTTTTAAGACTATGTTATATCTTATATATCTATGTGCAATAAAAATAGAAGACTAAGTAATCTTCCTATACGAAGGGTATATGTATACTCGATAAGACTATATTATGTGTATGCGATAGGTCTATGTATACATCAAGATAGATGTAGAAAAGTTTTAAATTTTTCGCAATTTTAACCTACGAATGTAATGATGTAAGCTAAGAGGTTAGTCTTAGTCCTCAAATATAACCGGCTAGGGGGTGCTCCCCTGATGTGACAAACACCTTTCTAGAGCTCTCCTCAAGCTCTTCTTGTTCAATGCATAGGTACAGTTTCATAACTTCACCTACACTAAGCAACTTCCTTTAGTTTATCCTAGTTAGGGTCGTTACTTTACTTCCATTGCCCTTTTTACATTAGGGAAACTATAGCCTTAACCGACACTAAGACTGTGGGTGCTAAACATGGAATTTGGTATTGTAGAGCCTTAAACCAAGAGAAGGTGTTCTACCTAGCCAAGGTAGAACTTTAACATCATTCTAGCATATTAGGTGATATCACTTGCTAAATCCTTTGGGGTAAGCATAGTTTATTAAACTTGGAGGCATACATGGAAACCCTCTTTATGCCTATTGAGACATAGTAGTTATCCACTTATGGAAACCCTCTTTATGCCTGTTGAGACATTGTAGTTATCCACCTTGTGAGGACTATGGTGAACAAGTCTTCTCACATTGGGAAGCGGCACCCCTCATCTAAGTTCACTCGGTGCTAAGTTAAGTTTCCTTTTATTGAAAAGCCATTATTATTACTTTATAAAATGTAGGCTTAGGAGTCTTAACCCCTCATATGATTTTCTCATAGGTCATAAATAATAGTTCCTCAACCTAAATCATGTGAGAAGTCCTTTCACATGGACGTAGCATATTCAAGCACCATATAGTTTAGGGTACACTTGAGAAAACCTTTCAAGAGCCCCTCTATTAACTAGATCATCATACATGTGTGTGTGTATGCATATATGTGAGCAAACCTTTCACATAAACACGGTTAGACAACATATGTTCGTACTTGATTTCATTCATGCATAAGAGTACAAGTGTAAGTATATGAGCAATATTTTCATATAAACACATTTAGACACTAGGTATAATCATACTTCATTGTACCCTATACTTGACATCATAGTATATAAGACATGTTCATAACGTACTCATACCTTCACATTCGTGTACATTAATCACAAAACCTAAGACTATCCTATCAAGGCACACATGTGCAATGCATATACAAGGTCCCATTCCCTTGATCATACTAGTACACCTATCAAGTCATCCTAGTTACGGGATAAATAACATGCTTCATAGACATATACCTTACATGCATAGTAGTAGACACAAGTGCATATGAGAATAACCTTTCAGTAGACACTATGAACCCATACTACTTTGTAAGCATGCATAACGAGTGAATGTGTGTGTGCATTGGTCAACATGATCACATAACTTCTATCAACTTCATCTTGAGGCATCCATCTCTTAAGATCACAATTCACATTCAAGTATAGACCATAGACCACATACTAGCATAGGATACACGATAACTTCAACCATTG